ATATATATATATATATATGAGATTCGATGAAAACATGCATGCTTTTACACAAAAACGTGAAATTCGTATACATACATATACACGTATCTATTTCCTTTGTTGTTCTCTTTTCTTTTTCTTTACGTTTCTTTATCATATTTGACGTTTTTAGTACTTTCTCTACTTTTGAAAGAAACTTTGTCGATATATATGATGTTGGAGGGTTGTATTTGATCTATCCTATTATATATATATAGTCACCTTTAAATGAGAAAGATATATATTTAAAATTAAAAAAAATAATCGAATCAAATGTGATTTTATTTACATTAATATCACGCACAAAATCATAAGTGATTCACGTGACTTTGACCCATGACGTAAAGACGCGGCCAAAGTCACCCGCACACCTTTTTTTACCGTGAATGTAAAATTACATGTGATTTTCCACGTGGTTTGATTATTTTCGTATTTTTTTTAAATAGTTAGCATTGTTGTTTGATTCTCCTCTCTCTCTCTCTCTCTCTCTCTCTCTATATATATATATAAATTAATGAAAAAGTATATCAATATAAATGTTAAATTAATGAAAAAATTTGAAATTTTTTTTGGTTTCATTTATATTGCTTGAATTTTATTTATATTTTATATCCTTTTTAAAATAAAACCAGGTGATCAAGGTTTTTTAATTTAAAAAATATTATTGTAATCGACCATTAAACTATAGCCATTAGATCATTTGAATCTAACGGTTGATGAGTTTCTAGTTTATCATTTATTCAAATGGAGGATGATTTACGATTAGAATTAAATTTCATTGGGTTGTATTGATTGCAACATTTGAAAAGTTACATTTGATTTGTGTTATATATATATAGTATGTATATGTGTAGGCTCTCCATTCCGAGACCTCTAAATTCATTCTAAGCTACTAATTTAAGCTATATAATTAAATAAGCCACCATTCCTTGATTTCCTTTGCTTTCAGTTCAGGATTAACAGTGTTTGGTGCAGAAGCAGCRTCGGCGAAAACCACGGCACTTTCCACCCGGAAACCCCTCGTTCTTGCACACATTCCCACAGTTGCTATCGCTCACACACGTCCCTTTGAACTTATGACTCTGCGACTCGCAAGTCCTCCCTTCCACCACCATTTCTGTACACAACCCACATATTATACATACATGATACATACATATATATATATATATATATATATATACACACACACACATAGTAAGTAAGGGATAGTTGATTTATATACCATTTGCCATCAGACGCATGACAAGAAGCAACACCGTTGCAAACAGCTTCATGGAAGGTCTCATCTTCTTCACCTCTAACATTTTAATGATTGGTGATACAAATTCTAACAGGGTCTGGATCCTTTCAGAAGTCTCCTTGGTCTTTCTTGTATTGGCTCTTATACCGCTTTGTCATGGAGTTGTTTCACAAGCCCTGATGTGGTTCTCAGGACTTGTATTAAGACAAGATAATCAAACAGCAACATTTGGATTATTCACAAATGAATGATTACCAACTATTTGAAAGCAGTAAGAACTTTGAAGAATTCTATCTGGAAATCTTATAAGAAAGCTTCCAGCTACACAAAGTTCAAGTTTCCATCATACCATTAAATGCTCTAAAATATTTCAGTTTCTTGGGGAACCTTTATATGGGACATGACATTAAGYTCAAACAYAGGTTGGATTTGTCGGGTTAAATYAATATATAAAACCAAAAAAACAAGAAYATCAAATATTAGAGCATCTTCAACAAAGACATGGGGCATTTTCTTTTTTCACTATTCATTATGTCTCCAAAGAAGAAACTATAATTCATACTTATTGACTTAGGGTTGTTTGTTTACCTATTAATAGTTTCATTAAAAGGCAGTCTCTGAATCGTTAAGAGGTGAATCTTGTTTGACAAAATAAAAGTCCGTCTCTTAATGGTTCTAAAACCCTCTGAATGATTTTGTATCATGTCCCTCCTTTAACCAATCGGCACCCTGATTTCATTGTAAACAATAACCAAACAATGGTCTAGTTTGTTTGAATGTATCAGATTGTTCCAAAGTATTGCATGGTTTGCTGTTTGGGAGGAAGAATGTTGCTTCTTTGCTTCCAAAGAAGTTTGTTTGTAAGGAGAAAGAAGGGTCGTGATTTGAATTTGAATGCAGATGTAGTTGCAGAAGCATTCATAAGCGTAGAGGATCTGCTGTTGAGTGTCCAAGAATCCATGCTTCTTGTGCAGTGTTTGTGGACGTTTGGATATGCAGCAGGGAGGAGATAATTAACGTATTGTTCCCGAATAAGAAAACACATAGTGACTCCGATTCTAATGAAGTCGTCGGGGGTAAATGAATCGGATGGATGGGTAATTTATTAGTGGCTTTGTTATTTGTTGTTGTCATCAGCTGTTTGTAATAGATTTTGTTCAGTATATTGAATTACCATATTATTTATAATCATATATGTAAAGATTTAGAGGAAACATACCAACTTGGGAATTCTGTTCTTTTCAGATCAAAAGGAATCAACCATCAATCCAATCTAACATTTCTTCCTATTGTTCTTTCTCTTCTTCTTCTCTTTATTTCCTTTCCCTTTCTTCGCTACCGCTTCTTGGGTGCTACCATCCTTCTTGTGTTTTTCCGGCACCACTTCCAGAACCGATGAATGATTGCAACCACTGCCATCATTGTTAACACGACTTGTGTTTCTGCTCTCTGACACCAGCTTCTGCGGTTCCTCCCTCATTCCAAACTGGTTCAAGAAATCATCCATCATCGGCCTTCTACTCTGCAGAACCTCCACAACTTCTTGCAAACTCTTTGTTTCATCACTTGAGAAAACTAAATTCTTCACTTCAAGTCCACTGAAAATTACAAGTCCAAGCACCCGATAAGTTTTTAGTTTAACAAAACAGTAATAAACGACTTCAATGTTTACATCTAACCTTGTATCAAACCAACAAGAAAGCAGTTCCAGTTCATCAAATGCACAGCGCACTTCACGTAGAAGTGTTGCATATTCTCCAGCACACTTTTTCGCATTCGTAAGAGCAGTAGCTATAGCATGTACAATTTTATCCAACTCTTTCTGGTAAGAAAAATAAAACATCACAAGGCAATCAAAGTTTACACTAATTAAGATGATAAATCTAACAAACACCACCTGTTACTACCTTGATCATAGCATAATCAGAAAACGAGCTCTGTAGCTCTCCCTTCTCCCCATTTATAACTTCAGTTATGTCATCAAGTATATTCCATTTCATTACCAGTTCTCCTTTGCATCCATCCGCAGGATCCACATTGAAGTTCGAATCTGGTAACGGGTTTGAAGATGGTGCCTCAGAGGTCGAGTCGCTATGTGTATTTTTCTTGGGGAACAATACATTCATGATCTCATCCCTCGATCTCCGAAGGTCCACAAACATTGCACAAGGAGCATGGATTCTAGGACTTGCATTTTCCGTACTCACAATCAACAGAGGATCCTCTATTGTTAGAAATGCTTCTGCAACTACGTCAGCATTTAAATTGAGATAACGGCTCTTCCTTCTCTTTAAAAGACCACCCACAAACTCCTTTGGAAGCAAATAAGCAATATTGTTCATCCCAAACAGCAAATCACGTAGTACTTCAGAACAATCTGATACTTTCAAGCAAATTAAACACAGTATCATAACCAGCTTCAACACAAAAACTGGATGGTAAAATCTAGGATTCATGTCTGATTTTTTAATCCATGCTACAGTTTCCTCTTGATTGTAAAGAATTTCTCGGACCATTACAACATAAAAGCTTTCGTCAGGGGGATTGGAATGAGCTGTGTTTGGAGCAAAGTGATGATGGGTGAACCATTCAACAAAAGAAGATTTTGTAGTGAAAATGATTCCCGAAGAGAAAGATGCCATGAAAAAAAGACGGTCCAAGAGATACACAAAACTGTGAGGTGATATGTACCCAGGAAGCCTCCAGTTGGCTCTATAAGTATCACGCAAAGCATTCTGGAGTGCAACATAAACATCTTCCCAGCAACCATTCTGAAACTTCTCAACAAATGATTTCCATGACAGATTCCATTCAACTCCCGTATGAATTATGTTGTAAAGTGCTGTAGGTTTTCTGGAACCAAGACATATCATCATCACCCTCCCRATCTYCMAGTAGGTAAGGTTACCCTTGATCATAAACCTTATAATCTCATTCAGCAAGTTGACTGAAACATCAGTCTCCTTTAGTGAAACAAAATCCGCAGAAATCGAACTCCTCCAGTCCAAGGGAAACACAAGATCAAAATAAGTTGTCGAGAAGCCCAGGTAATTTTCCAGGGTCTGCTTATTACTATATGTGAGATTGAGATAACTATAGTCTAGAAGAAACTTGGAGACCTCAAAAATGTGAAGAAGACATGTACCTTTGCGAAATGCAGATCCCTGAGACATGAACTTATGGAGTGCTCCAAGAGTTTCGAGTACCTTTATACCTACAGAAACCAATTCCAACTGCCAATAGAACCGAATAGCAAACACCAACTGCCTGCTATCAAGAGTTAGCCGCTTCCCATCCTGATGAAGACCCTTGTGACCACCATTTTTWATCCAATCAGCATCCTTGCTGACCAACAAGTAAACCACGTTTCCSTTTACACACTGCTTCCTCARACCAAAATAATTTAAAATGAACTCAATATGACCCTCATACTCATTTGCTTCTCCACCGTCAAAAGTTTCAAGACTCTGAAAGATATCCACAACATGATCCTTCCACATGTTCCAATAGAAAMCCAGAGTTTTAACAGAAACTCGATTCCAAAAGATCTTGTTCTCAGCATACTGAGTTAAATCACTGGGTAGTTCATCGTCCCAGTCATACTTTGAGGAGTTTAGTTTAAGATGAGCATCCAATATTTTCCGATTTGACACCATTTCTCCACGCAGGCTTTCGTGTCGTTGGGAAGCTTGCAAATGCTTCTTGAGCTCCGGTAAGCTACTCKGCTGATCAGWGAGTATTCTAAGCTCACGACATACAAAATCATAGAAATTGTCGGTGTCWTTTYCTGAAAGTGACTTTGCTTTYTTACAAAGKTGTTCCTTCTGAGCAAACTGCTTCAACGGCCAACCTTTGCTTCCATTTCCCCATACCGAGCTAAAGAACACGTACCAAAGAATGAGCAATGTTGCATCTTTGTAGTGTCCAGCCTTCTCCAAAAGATCAGCCTCTTTTAGAACATCACCCCATGACCTAACAAGCTCAGCAGCCTCAACAAAACTACCTGATTCCTCTTCCAACAACAAAAGCTCATCAAGACGGCCAACGGACCTCAAGAACGCACGCTTTGTTTGCATAGAACAAAAGGCTCTAACAAATTTCATCATGGATATGAGATCTTTCTGCTTGTGGTAATCAAGAGCACAACTCTCCAAGAAATCTTGCTTAATCTGTTCAAGTTCTTTATTTTGAACATTAGCATGTTCTTTCCAGTGTTCAATATACTGCATGCCTTTACCATAAAGTTTCCCTTTTTTGCAAACTGACAGACAATTGGAATACTTATCTCCTTGTGCATAGGCTTCGGCTGCATCGCTATAACACCCTGCTAGTGTGAAACACTCAGCCGCTGCTTCAGTCTGCCCACACTTATCCAAATAAATTCTTCCTGTAAAAACAAATTTGAAATTAAGATGATAAAGGTTTACAATACAAACAACGATTAAAGTTGTGCAAAACTTAAACTCAGGAAGTTACCAGCTCTTTCATACTCCCCCAAATCACAATAACATGAAGCAGCAGGCTCAAATTTCCCAATGGACTCAAACATCGTTGCTGCTTCTCTAAGATAACTTGAAGCAGCTTCAGGATTCATYCCACGCATTTGTTCAGCWGATGTTCTGAGACCCGAAGCCTTGGCCAATTTCTCCCACATCTTGTCTCCAGCTCTTTCAAAGCACATTGTYGCCATCACAAAATTGTTCTCATAGTAAAGCTGAAAAACATATAAAGGTTGTGAATAACAAACAAGATGACATAMTWAATAGCAGCACGTTTCAACCAATTAWAATAACAGTAAGAGATTAGATTTGACCTTTTTACCACGCTCTCGCCACTCTTGAGGGCTGCTTGCAACCCRCATGGCYTGTGCCAYTGAATCATCAAGYTTCCTTRACTGGACCAGGCCCCTTCTCTTCCAGTAGTCGAACATTGGCTTGGAGAGCTCCTCTTTGTTCTCACATATCCAGAGTCTTTGCCTTGTCCGAGTTATAGCCACATACAATTGTTTCAATTCAGAACACAAGACATTATGTCTTGCCTCACTGAAACTGGGGAAAGAATGGCAACCTTTCCCATCAACCAAATTCTTTTCCTTCATATATCCATATATAACCCTCCACTGGTCTTTCAAAGGRGATGTACCAAAAAAGTTGTARAGCAACACATCCTAGAAATAAAATAACAAAAGCAAGTTAAACACATAAAAATATGATTACTACATCCRATGTTTTACCTAAATGTTTTATGAGATRGTTTAGAAAGAACATGACACTAACCTGAAATTCAAGACCTTTACATTCGACTATTGTGAGAACAAGAGCCTGTTTTCCAACATATTCACATATCTCAGTCTTGTCACAATCACGTACCAGTATCACCTGTTCCGCACCAAAACCAATGATTTCTCCACCATTCCCACCGCCACTGCCACCAAAAATTGTCACAATTGCGTTTTCATCTTTGCCAGCCTCCAGAAGAACAGGAAGTTCACTAGAAATGAGACTAGTCTCAGGCTCCAAAACATCAATTGAGTGAGCAAAGTAGCTGTACATAATCTCAATGACACTCTGAGCTAATTCTAGCACACCAGCATGAGTTCTGAAGTTCTGTTTCAACTGAAAGATCTCAGATACAAGACCTTTCTCTTGTTTTTCAGTTGTTCTGTTGCTTAARAACTCCTTATAGAACAAAGATCGTATATCYTGAAACCTAAAGTCAATCCCTCTTGMAATAGTCTGAGCAGTATCACCCGCAAATACGAAACCTTCATCAACATTTTGGCAAATATATTTGAAAAGAGAAATCTGCCTCATACTAAGATCTTGCACCTCATCAATGTAAATGAAATYCATCTGGTCACCTTCATATTTCCCATTTCTRAGTCGATGATGAAGGTCATTCACTAAGTCACCCAGATCAAATTCTCCACGTTCAGTTTTCATCTTTTCATAGGCTTGAAATAGGTTGTAAACAATTTCTCTTTTCTCTTTCGGTAAAGTGGAAGCACGACTTTGAGACAACAATGAATAACCTTCAAAGCTCAGTTTGCCATCAGGGCTTTCTCCAGCTTGCAAACCTCCTTTTATATGAGAAATTATYTCCGTAAACACCCTGGAAGGATCCAGCTTCTTTTTTAGATCAGAATTGAAACGAGTCCAGTAAAGGGAACAAAATCTTTCAAATGTAACCTTCTTTGATCTTAAGAAAGTTTGCAAAGCAACAGATCTTGAGCTTATACGACTACCACAAAAAAGTTCTCTTGCCTCAGGAAATCTTTCGAAAAAAGAATTTCCCAATGTGCCATCCAACATCATTAGAAACTTGTCAAATGTTACAACAAGAGGGTAATTTGTGTGGACTATGTCAACAAATGTGTCCGGGATATCTTTGATTTCTGATGTAACTTCTGCATCATCAAGATTGATCTCCGTCGATAAATTCCCTTTCAAGGCAATACTGTTAAATAAACAAGAGATGGTTCAAAAAATACTAATAATCAAGAGAGAGAAAAAAGAAACAAGGRAAACTARATTAACGTATATGTACCTTGTGAGCTGAGAAACATGTTGCTTCACAGCATAACACAATTTTGGACTTACTGTCACAAATAGCTGGCGCAGAACAGTTGGTTTGTTTTCTTCTGAACCATCAACAACTTCTGCATCCCTAATTAGACTCCTCTCTGCTGCATAAATCCCTTCAGAAGCAATACGAAAAGACTCTTCATTTTGGAACAGCTTCATCGTCAATATAGTGGTTTTCCCTGTTCCTGATCTCCCAATTATGAACGAACTTTTGCAAAATAAAATAATGTCCATCTGCTCATCAGTAACTTGCATGGGTAGATCATATTCTTTACCAGAAAGCAGATGGTTCACTACCCCAGACGACAATGAGTAAAACTTCATAAGCAACAAGCTTTCACTCACTTTTGAGTTTTCGACATAAATTCTACCATCACCAGGATTTAAGCTCACTTCACTGTCGCCTTCACATGAGTTACTTAGATTACGAAAACGGGAAACTTCTTGGGTTGTCGCCCAACTCCTTGGAATTTCCAAGTCCCTGACATCATAAATGCAAAACAATAGTACAAAGAACAAGGAATTAAGAATGTATAAGCACTGGATTAAGATTCAGAAGATGGCAAAATGAGCTTACCCATCCAAACATTTTTCCGTGCAGCGATTAATATAATCATCTGTATAAGCAGCAAATATGTTGTCAAGCCGTTTTGCCAGTTTTGGAATATCCTCCAAAGGTAATATATCCCAAACCTTCAAAACCTGTAAATACTTGAAGTCCTTGATGATGTCGATTGTGCAAATAACATAGATCCCTTGAACCTTAAATTTCTTCAAAATCTGTGAAGAATTTTCACAGTACAAGTCTACGCTTTTGTTCTTGGGCCTCCAGCCACTTGAGAGTTTCAMTAAGARATWTAAAACCAGYTYCTTCAAGMGAGAACCTGCCARCTTTGCAAACGATCTTCTGAAGTCATCACTGAAGAGAACCTAATGGCATCAATGCAACAAACATAAAGAACCAAAATACAATATCATATAGTAAAATCTTTTGGAAGAAAAAGTAATCATGTTCTAATCTGAAGACAAGACAGAGACGACACCTTCCATTTTGCATCTTTAAAAAACACACTATTCCCGTTAACCAGATCATCAAGTTGTTCAAGCTCTTTCTTTGYAGCTATTATAGTCWTCTTTAAGCTTTCATCAGCATCAGCGTCAAAGAAACAATGGCGACTCCTTGCATCACATACTAATTCTCTCCATATGGARTCACTATTAGCCAGGGTTCTTTCGCTGCCTAATATCCACAGACAGTGTCTAGATACGAATGTAAGACAAGATATAYCGAGTCAGATGTACTTCAGAAAATAAAAGCCATCTATAAAGATCAAATATTAATTCACAAGAATCCATACCGTGCCCTTGTCACAGCAACATTAGTCCTTTGAGGACTACATAAGAAGCCAACGGACCCATATCTATTAGATCTGACGGTAGATAAAATGATAACATCTTCTTCTCCACCTTGAAATCCGTCAATAGACTTCACCTTGACTGAAAATCCTGGAAGTTCCTCGTACTTGGGAGCAAGCTTCTTTTTGATCGAAACAACTTGGGCCGCATATGGAGACACAATCCCAATAGTAAGCTTCTTTCTGGAGCTGGTCCATGCTATAAATGTTCAAGAACAGGTAAAAGTAAGTGAACATTTTAGTTGGAAGAAAAAAAAATGATACTACTAATCTAAACGACAATGACTAGATGACATAATATGACAATTATGCACACCTCTGTAGAGATTCTGCACTATCTTTATCACGACAGCCACCTCAACCAAATTTCTTTGGCTCTGCCCATCATCGTCCTTTTCTTCTCTTCCCTCAAGAACATTTATAAATGAATAAGAACCAAACATGGGTCCTGAAAGATATTGCTTTTCATAACTTGTACATGTCACATTTTCTCCATCCAGGATCTGATTCTGATAAAATTTCCAATTTGGAAAGAAACTGATGGATGGGTGCATTCTGTACTGAACATTYAATRGATGCKTAGAATGCCCCAGACTACTCAATCTTTCAAATAAGCTTCTTCCAAAGCAAGATCCAATACAAACCTGTCCACAAACACTCATTCTATCAAAATATAGCTTAAAGGTAAAATTAAAACAGTACAAAACAAAGTCCTCGAGGTATAAAAATTAGTAAAGACTTACTTTGCTGCGAACCATTGCAGGTAATTGGAACTCATCTCCGATGAGAATAGCATGTTTTAATCCAAAAAGTTGAAGTGGAATGGTTGACTCGGCCTCTTTCAAMTGGGCAGCTTCATCTATGACCAACAACTTCAAAGGTTCCATTTYAACAGCATGCAACTTGTAGGAACTAGAAGCTGTGCAGAATATAAGAGAAGCTCTTTTGAAACAGAAGTCCTTTACTTCCCAGAAGTTCTCAACACTTGGAAGATTGAGACTTCCAAGAGATGTCTGCAGAGTTTTTAGAACAGAAACAGACTTGATTCTGAAGTAATTGATTGACAACTTGTCCTCAAACTTAACAAAATCAGCTTGCAATGGTTTAGAAGTAAAAAGGTGCTCAAGTTCTTCCGAAACCAGATTCTCCTGAAACAACATTGATTCCAAAGCACCTAAATTCTCCAAYAGAGAGACCATATTTCGGAAAATATATTCCCCCATGAAATTTCTTGGGATATGAGTGCAGAACGTAATGATGCRGCTTCTGAGTTTGGGTGCAGAAGCATTGAATCGATCTCGCAAAAACTCTATGAATGATTTGACTTCAAACTTTTCTGGTTTAGTTTGATTTTCTTTGGAGGTCATGGTATGATTTTCTTTTGCATGTTGTTCTTCATTGGACAATACATTTTCTACAAAATCATGATATTGAGAAACACAGTCTTCAAGTAAACCAGTCATTGATCGTATGAAACCAGACATTGACCCAATGCACTCTGTAAGCCTCTCTACTCGTTCCTCCAAATAGATATCTTCAATGTCTGTACTAACTGTCAACCTCTCCTTGTTTCCAAACAAGAGCATATCTCCAACCGAACAGAAAGAATCACCACTTTGTAGTCTAGTTTCGAAAGATTCTCTTACCAAATTTAGCACACGTGAGGCTACCTGTACTATTGCAACATTTGCCGGAGCACAGGTAAGCGTCCTGCACTTCATTTGCAAGAGAATAGATAGCAACACACTTACTGTTGTCGTTTTCCCAGTTCCAGGGGGTCCCCATATTCGTTCCACACAAGAATTGTGGTAACATTCGGTTTTACAGAGGGATGCTATAATTGCATCTCTTTGGGATTCATTCATCTTAGACAAGAGATGTTGTCCATGTGAATCAATATTGCAACCAAAAGAACAGATATCACATCTATCCTTGACCTGTAAGTAATATGAGTATATGACCATAATTAGATAATGAAATATTAAAACTTGACAAAGTAAGATTGTATCCAATCAATTAAGAGAGTAACTTCAACTCATTTCTTACCACAGAATCAGAACTTAGAACCTCTTTGATGATATTCAAATTTCCATGCATGTGCAAAGAATTCCAGATTCTTTTCTGGGTTGTAATATTCATCAAAAAAACAACAAACAACCCATGCTGGGATTCAATATGTTGTGATGCCTTAACTTCGAAATATACTGAAGTGCTGTCATCTTCATTTTCATTGCTATCATGTTTAATATTTTCGTCTGCAATTTTACTAACCAAAGCAAAAGCCCATGTCCTTCCCACTCGCTGCAAATCAGAAATAGATTCAGGTCTCCCATCCGCCAAAATAAACAGATCACCAGGTAACGTACGGTAAGGCTCTTTGCCACGTTCACTAAATCTGTTTTTCCAAGTAACAACATTAACATCATACAACATTTCTTTATCACCTTTGACCTTCGTAAAAGAAGAAATTTCAGCGAATGGAGCATTAGACATGCTGTCCATACTAGAAGCCAGTTCGCAACGTGTTTCCTCTAGCAGAGGATAAACAAAAGAACTGAGATAGTGTTCCACAGACTGAAAAGTAAGGGGTATCTCCTCCACCTGCAACGAACGCATCAAAGTCATCAAAAAGAAATCAGAGGTTTTCATATCCATATTTTTGAGGATATGTTTGAAATCAACATTAAAMTTCATAATAATAAAACAAGAACAAACTAGAACTAAAGGTAAAAAAACTGAAACGACTCTTGAGTTGCATGCATTGTGTATGATTAGGCTTGATTTTGACAAGAATGGGTTTCCATGCAAAATAAAATGGAAACAAGAAATGCAAAGAATGGTAATAAAARAGCAGAAAGGAAAGGAAGACCTGAAATTTATAGAGTTCCTCATTCAGTATGTCATCAAGAGACCATGAGAATATCAACTGGGAGAAGTCATGACGATCTTGGCAAGGTCGAAATGCTCCTTTCTTCTTCTTCCGGAAAGAACCTCTGATTTCCATCATCAACCTGTATCAAATGCATGAA